TAAAAGGGAACCTCTTCTGCGCCAAAGATGCACTTGTCTGCATTGGCGTACAGTTTGTTTGTGCGCATGCACTCGACCACCGCTCTTAGATAGACTATGTGGTTTTCCTTATCTGTCCTCCCGTGCTCCGCACGACTATGAACGAAAATGTCGTCAAAATGTGTCTGCGCATACGCCCTGTGGGGCCTGAACAACTGCGTCACAAGACGATTAAATATTGCTGGTGCATTTGACAGCCCCTGGGGCATCACCAGCTACTCCCAGAGCATGTCGCTCGGAGTGCTCACCGCTGTTAGCGGAATATCACTCGCTCTCATGAGCAAATGGTAATACCCCATCGACCAAGTTGAGCGCACTGTACTTCGTACATCCCACCATGTTGTTCTGAAGAACATCCTTTCTAGGAATCGGCGTCTGTGCCGGAATAATGGCAGCGTTGAATTTATTGTAAGCATAAACGATACGCCACTTGCCATCGGCTTCCGGACACAAAACGTGGGTGTCGAATGGGGAGAGTTGCTCTCACGTACCATCCCTGCGTCGTGCTCCGAACGGAGGAAGGCGTTAGTGACGTCGCACTGCTCCTTGGGCAGGGGCATTGGCGCGTTACGTAGTATTTGGTTCCAGAAACCAGGTCGATCGCATGACGCATACCTAAGTCCGGAGGAAGGACCGAAGGCAGGTTTTTGGAGACGACATCTTGAAATTCCTTTACCAACGGTTATTACGGATCCAAGGGATTCCGTAGGACCGACAATCCACTCCGTGCGTTCAGCACTCTCTTGGTGTCTTTCAAGACAGCTGCATCCAGAAGCGATGACGAGGTTATCTCCTCGCCCGCTCTTGTACAATGACCACTTCGACCAGATCGCCTGCCTTCAAGGCACTGCCGAACTCATCAAGGGACATATCGTCCAGCTCAAGAAGATCAAATACTGCAGGTATAGCCTCGATGCGGACGTCGTCATCTTCCTCCCCCGTCATATAGTTGACGAGGGTCTATAACTGCGCACCATCGTCTACGGTAGACACACCCAGGATCAGGGTCGACACCCGGCGTCTTGCAGCCAGCATACGGCTTCGCCGTCGCCTCTGTACAGAGTTTCTATGTCTCGGTGAGACCAGGGTGACATGCACTCCGAGTGGTCCGGTGTCACCCCCACATTCCGCCCATTTGGAGCTCCGATTTTATCTACAACATCCGACGAAGAACTGCTGACCCCGCAGTCTTCGATTAGTGGATAACGTGCCACTCCACGCGCATCTGAAGGGCCATGTCCAAGATGCCTCGAGCTCTATCCGACCACGCCATCAATGGCATGCAGCGACTGCTTCGCAACGAGAGCAGTGCTCAGT